TTAGCAAATTTGTGCAAGATTTTGTCCAACCCATCAGGCTCTCAGTCCCCCAAAGGATATTAATATGTTATGGAATTTATGGGCTGTAATGTTTCAGTTTCAGGCCAGGAACAGAGTTAGTTCTAAAGTGAATAAAATTTCAGACAAGGAATATTTCTATTTTTGTTTCACTTTAATCTTGGACTTTAATTACTGAGAGGATTTAATAATAGGTACCAATCACTTTAGCACTATATTAAAATCTTTTACCATGTTAGAGGATTATGCTTATAAATACAAAATATTAGTGCCATATGTTTGTAAACACTGGAGGAAAAGTCATGGGAAGAGTAAGCAGACAGTTTTAAAATTAAATGCCACACTTTGAAGAAGCAAATAATAAGTTTTCTTTCTTGAATCGTTCTACCTCCTTGTTTCTTTCATTCTTCATATCCATACATACAGTCACAAACATTGCACGGAATGTAGGAAATTTAACACATCATGTAAGGTCTTAAATATATTTCAATGTGTACTTAATTCCTTTTATAAATCTATTGTCTTCTCTGATATAGTAACTAAAATTTACCCAACAATGGCAGATTGCTTTGATAGATGTGATAATGTTTGCAGGCCTCTGTCTGTCTGAATATATATCTTCATTTTATAAAGTATTGGAAAGTCACCATTACTACATTGGTCACTCAATGGATCAGATGAGAGTCTATTATCTTTAATGCAATTGATTTTCTGTACTTCATTTATGTTGTAAGTTTTGTTCATTGGTAGACTTTTAAAATATGCCTCCATATTTCCTTTTGTGACTTAAATGCCATTTTTTTGGTGTTCTAATGCCCTTGGTTGTTAATTCCTCTTAATACACAATGTAAGACTAAAGAAAAGCTAAAGATTAGAATTCTCCTGTGTGTGATACTGTGTGTATGAAAAAGATCACTGGTTTTAGTTCACTTTTAGACATGAATGAAAGAGCATAAAATATTTCTAAGACCAGAATAAGAATTTAGGCCTCAAGACTAGATTCCTTCTGACCTTTTTAAAATAGTGACCATAATTCCAAGTAGACTGATAGGCTAAATCAGAAGTCTGTACCTGCAGTAAGGTTAGAGTTTTCTTTGACCCACATCTGTGTACCAGTCCAAAAGAACAATCAGTGGAGTCACAGGAATGACTGTTTCCAAAGCTGACATCTTAGATTATTGTCCTTCTGAAGCAGAGAAATCCATCTATTTGAGCCATCTGCCCTTGGGATGAATGAACTAAATTTCATTTATGGGAATTACTGGGTTCTTGGTCACACTTTTTAAATTTCAGTTTTGCTTGTGAGGCACTTATCCTTTTTAACATAAAATATCCATGCATTTTGTTCTCAATGCTCATAAATATGCAAAATCTGTACCATTTGATCAAGTGGTGATATTAAACTGGAAACCAAATAGTGAGAAAATTTTAAATCAAGGGGTGCTTACCTTACCTTCAGGTACAGAAGCCTTCAACAGGCCATTCTATACCTGTTTCTGTGGATTTCTAAAGTCCTCAGAAAGCAGCTGGAATAAAGTTACCTGTGCTGTGTAGGAAGTAAGTCATTATAGAATTACTGCAATAGTAAATATATATATATATATATATATATATATATATATATATATACACACACACACACACACACACACACACACACACACACATACATATATACATATTAAATAATATAAAAATAGAATAATATGTTTCCTAAAAAATATTCCAGCAATATTTTGGTCACTCCATTTAAATGATCACTTAGAAGAGTTTTGAGATAAGTATTAGCATGTGACCAATAGATACTCCCATAATATTTTGGAATTAAATTTCCTACATTTCTCCTTGCATGGTTTATTTTAGTTACAATCCATCATGAAATCATATGACACTTATAGACTTCTAAATATTTGTCTACTGCTTAGTAATATTTGAGAATACATAAAAATTGTTTATTTTATTTAAATGATCATCTTCTAAAAATATCATGAAATGCTTATTTGGCGAGTAACAGCATAGATGCTGTAAAGATTGCATTAGACATGACCAGGTCTCTTAACATCTAAAACAGGAACATAAAGGAAAGTTTTAAAAGAGAGATAATATAACTCCAGTATTTCTGATATTTTATTCTTAGAAATATGAGTAACTAATCATGGTACAAGAAAATATGTATGCTTAATAGACAGAATGGGTGAGGTTTACCAGGTTTAAAGTGCAAATCTGGTTTTATTTTATAGCCCCAATATCTACAACCTAGAGCCTGCATTTCAAAGATCATCTTAGTTCTGACAAGGGCTCCTATTGAATAAAACATGTCCCTCACTCTCTTCTTTCTACCTGGGGAGGGCTGCCTCTTGCCTGCTGCCTCCTCGATATATTCTGGCCTTCTGGTCTACTTAGGTGGGGACAGCTTGAGACCAACTCACCAGCACCTTGAACTGAACTGCACACACAGAAAAACGTGAGACCAAAAATTGGCAGGCAGTGTATAAAAGACTACAAATCCCAGAAATACAACCAGATGCTGGCTGACTGGATGGAAGGAAGGATAAAGGGAGGAAAATAGGTAGAGAAAAATGGATGAAGACAGGGAGAAAAAGAGAAAATGAAGGGAGACTAGAGCAAGAGCTGAGAAGACCGTTGCCTGGAATTATAACTGGGATTCAAAGAAACATTGAAGGCTTCCCTTTTGACTCAAGTAGATTTTTTTGTCACATTTTCCCCAAAGTCACATTTTAAATTAATCTTATTTTCCCATGAAAGTAATGTGTCATAATCTTGTAAAAATAAGGAAAAAAAAAGGCCAAATTTACAAAATGCAATCATACAAGCATACTTAAGAAGGAGGCCAAGCTCTTAAAGCAATAAATGTTAAGGGCAAAGGCATAGTTTATATGGTGCCATGAATCCAACCATACAATTTGCCTCAGTCTGCTTTATATAAAACTACAATAATAATGTAATAGTTTAGCATTAATGAAGTGCTTAGTGCATACCAGGCACTCTCCTAAGAACTTTTTATGTATTAAATGTTGGATTTTCACAGCAATGATATGGGGTAATTACTGTTATTGACCACATTGTGGAGATAAGGGAAATGAAGACCAGACAAATGAAGTCATTCTTATATCCTCATTTGATTTTTTACTGGAGAAGTGGCCATTCCAATAGCTATAACCCATTTTCAACAGTCTTTATTTTTCTTTCTCCTTCCTTCTTTTCAATCAAACATAGATGTAAGTAATTTTGATAGATATACATACAGACCTAAGCCCCAGTCCCAGCGAAGTGACAAGGCAGACATATAGCCTCTGCCCTCCAGGAGGCCAAATGTTAATTCTTAGACCATGTTTTAAGTTAATTTTCCTTGACTTGAAATCAACAGATTCTTTTGGAATTCTTTCCCAGAACGCATAACATGAAGTAAGAGGAAAGGGAAGTACATACAGCTCGTTGTTAATTGAAGAAATATTGATTAGAAGTTCAGAGTTCAGGCTCTGAGGTTAACCTGCTTATGTTAGAGCCCAGTACCATCTGAATGAATAGCTTTTCAACCTACAGCTCTTAATGTCTCAATGCCTTGGATTCCTCATCTATCAAAAGGGAATCAAGAATGCCTACCTTTTGGGTTTGTGGATCTTTGATATTTGCAAAGCAGTGCAAATATGCCTGGCACATTATAAACGAATGTTTATATTATGAGTTACTCTTTAAATATGATACTCTTTCACTAGTAAATTTCTGTTATGTAAGGGAGACTTAGAGGGTTTTGAACATTAGATTTGGAGAAGGACTACTGAACACCAATGAGTCTCAAGCAAAAAGTAAACAAAAATATAAAAGATGGTAGAAGGAATAAGGAGCTCATGTTTTTTGCTTTATCCAGACTTCAGTAAGTTTGTATGGACCTCTTGTACTGATAGGGTAGTCATGCTTATTTCTTATTAATGGAAATTTAAAATAAAATAAATAAATTTAAGCTTATTCAATGAGGTTAAATATACAAAAATGTTTAAAACATAGAGACATAGCATAAAAATAACAGAGGAAAATTATTAGTGAAAGGATTGGGAACCACTGCTCTGGAACTTCTGTGGGTCTTAAGGAATTATGTAACGATTCAAAAATACCAATCAGATTATCTACTAGGATACAGTTACCTGCTGCACATAATTTGGGAAGCTCTCCAAATGCCTGAGTAATCATCAAAGATTACAGAATCTTAAAACAAGAGAGGACTTTGGAGATTAGTTTTATTCAGTTGATTGACTTTGGGATGGATAGTTATTACTTTAGAAATTAAATTCCTCCTCTTTCTAACTCTGAAAATGTGCATCCCAGTGGCAGACATCTCCGTAGAAGTTAGAGAAAATGCTATCAGACTGTGGCACAGTGGAATATTTTCATATGCTGTGGTTTTTCCCTTTAGATAGTGATAAAACTATTTGAGGGTCATTTAGCATCCATCTGTTATACTTTTAAAGAGCATTTCAGTTTAAAACAGACCTTGAAAATTATACTTTGAGCTCATGCTCAGATTTTCTGAAATGTGTCACCCACCAAGAGCCATTTAAGAAAATTAAAATTTTCTTAAACAAAATTATAAAAAAAGAAATTTTCTTAAAGAAAATGAAAGGGGAGCTCCTGAAAAGTAATTCATTTTCATTGTTTGTTTTTTTTTTTTAAGGAAACTCTGTTAATTTAATGAGAAAAAAAATAAAGTTAAATTTATAATCCTTTTAGAATAAATACTTTTTTATTGAACAGATTCAAACTATAAATCTATTTTTACTCATTAATAATATGGAGTTTTCATTACCCACGTAACCTCTAAAATCGGTATTATGGACAAGAAAATTTGAACAGGAAATAAAAAGAAATCTGTGTTACTTTATTAAAAACATAAATTTCTAAACAAATGAAAATGTGAACTTAAGGATTCACATCTGAAGGCCCTGACAGCTGGGATCTTCTTTCAGCTTCGACAGATGACAGTGCAGCTGAGAAGAAAGGGGGAACCCTGCATGCCGGCCTCATCGTTGGAATCCTCATTCTGGTCCTCATTATAGTAGCGGGCGTTCTTGTGACAGTCTATATGTATCACCATCCAACATCAGCAGCCAGTATCTTCTTCATTGAGGTAAGTGCCAAGTGTAGCATATAAAACCCATGGCGGTCCGTGAACTGTATCCATTTGCTAACTCCACCTGCATTTAATATTTAGCACACGATTTGTCAATTTCAAGTTGGCTGATCTCACCCACATGCGTACACATGCTTACATATTGATAGATTGCTTTCATATGATGAGTTCAGTATCCCTTTTCTCAGAAGCTTTTAAAGAAACAAGCTATCTCGCCTGTTACAGATCTAAAGGAAAATAGAAACCATACATTTTGGGTCCTATTCTACCAAAGATGTTAACCAGCTGTTTTCCTGATCCTAGGAGGAAATCAGCATATCCTGGAGGCTCTTGGAATTGACTTAAAGCATTTGATGTATAAATACTAATTCTGTGTTGGCTGGTTTTATGATACAATATGCTGGGCCTGCTCTCAAAATACTTTCAAACTATTTAGAAAAAATGGGGGGTTTTCATTAGAGAATGTTAGATATGAAAGATGATGGTATGCGCTATTGCCATTTTGCATAGTGTGTGTTATTTATATGTGTGTATGTAAATACACACACTCCCACTCATACACACACTAAAACAGAACACCTGTTGAATCAGTGCTTTCTTTATGTACAGAAAGTAGATGTAGTACCAGTGCCAGGAACAAACAGGTAGAAGGACCAAGAACTATATTAGGGACCAGAGCCAAGCCCCTCACAGAAAGCTTCCAGTTTGGAAGGCTGAAACTAAGGATCTTAGAGGGATAAAGGGGAACCAGTGGATAAAGTCAGTGTGAGTAGGTCACTTCTCTCATCCCCAAGACTGGGTTGGTTTCCTATGTTCCCTGTATGAACAGCTTTCACTCCAGCATCTTCAAGGGAACATTCCTTTTCCAATGCTAAATCATATCAGCAATACTAGAGTAAAGCAATCTTCTCTTGCAGAGTTTCAAATATGTTAGAGTTCAACTCTAATTCATTAGATCATATGCAGAAAAGTTGCTTGGAATTTTATTGTTGACTGAGAAATTATAAGCCTTTTAAAATACAAAGTTAAAGTGACCTTTGCCCCTTCTAATAGCAAATGAATTTAATAGTTGCTTTAAAGTCCTATTTGTGTCTCTTCTATCTGCAGAATAAAGTGTGGTCTCCTTCAAGGTCTTGACAATCCAGATCTTATCTATCATTTAAATTTTTATCCCATGGCTCTCTATCTGGACTTGGAACTAATGACATATGTCAATCTTAGCACTTTTCCATATACAGCCCAAATGCTCCATGCCACAAAGACATTTTGCTCATTCTATTTTCTCTACCAATAAATCCCTCCCCTTTTATCTCACTTTTGAATTCAGGAACCAAACAACTTTTGATACCATACGTTTCCTTAGACTATCTTCTATCTGGGTAGCTGGACAAGATCTCTCTTCCAACTCTGAAACTCTATCCTTAGCAATACACCAGAACTGTTCTCTGACATTTACCTTCCTGTTTTGCATTAGAGCTAAATCTGTGCATAATTCATTCCACCCTATAAGACTGATAAATTCCTTCAGATCTGGATTATGTAAGTCAAATTTCTTTCTTAAAACAGTATGGTATTCTATCAATATTTCCTGGAAAAAAAATACATAAAGAAATATCCAATTGCATTTTAAACTTCCATTAAAATTTTATATAAGATATATTCCAGACATGACATTCTTATTTAATATTATCGGTATTGGGAAATTATCAGGCATTACACTTATTTGGAAAGATGTTATTAAGTTTGGTTAATGGCTCCATTTTCACAGAAGAAAGTGGACATCTTACTTGAGATTCTGAATGCTTTCCTCAAAGAGCAGATAATGACAAGCTGAAAGTCTCAGTGCCCAGCCAGACATTGGCCTGCTGCTGCTGTGAGCCCTCATACATGGTTCAGCCTTTTAATATGAAGTGCATTTTATTTTATGGTGCTGTGAAAAAGAGTATGCTATGAAATAACTGATGAGAATTGTATTAGCAGCAAATTGTACAGTGCAGAGAACATAGTTAAAGCGTTTACAGCAATCTTTGTGTGACTACAAAATGACACTCTAAAATAGCAGGGGTATTTTTCCTTTGCATTGGCCTCTTCTTTTGGCAGGAGTGGGTCCCAGAGATTGAACTCAAGGGCACTCGACCACTGAGCCACATCCCCAGCCCTACTTTGTATTTTGTTTAGAGACAGGGTCTCACTAAGTTGCTTAATACCTTGCTTTTGCTGAAGCTGGCATTGAACTCGCAATCCTCCTGCCTCAGCTTCCCGAGCAGCTGGGATTACAGGTGTGTTCCACCCACCAGGTTTGCATTGGCCCTTTTGAATTAATCTCAATGTGTAGGTAGCTTATTCATGCACATATAAATATACAAACGTTGATTCATTACATGTAAGATGCACCACATACTTCATATGTAGAATATTAGAGAGAGGGGGAATTGTAGACATAATTTAGTCCTATACCCTTATAACACAGAGAAAACCTGAGGCTCGGAGGGGTGGAATGACTTATCCAAGTTCAAATAACCTTAGTTCTCAGAGTCACTATCATCTAAGTGACACAGAATCATTCTGCAGGCTTCCCACTGCCAGAGTCTGCTAACATCATTACCTTCACATCCTGGCTATAGTCTGGCAGCTCAAGTGGCTGGTAGGCAAAGGATTTCTGGAAGGTGATAATGATAACTTCACCATTATTAAAATGAACCAACTGTTTGCAAAATCCAAACATAGACTCATGATGACTGCATGGTCAATTCTTTTCTCAAGTGACATTTTTTAATTTTATTATGAACTCTTTGTACACATGATTGCAATGGCTGTAAAACATTCCATTCAACTTTCATTCAGTAGCTTATATTGATTGCCTCTTTGGCTGGCAAATGGTAATTTAGAAAGCAGAAGGGCCTCACATGTTCCTAGAAGTCAAAAATAACTTTTTTTCACCCTAATTTAAAACTGTGTATTAGTTTTCTGTTGATACTATAACAAATTGCCACAAACCTAGCAGCTTGAAATGAAACGTTTTACAATGCTAGAAGTCAGAAGTCTAAATTCAGGCTCACTAAGTCAAGGTATTGGCAGGGTCAGCTCCGTCTTCAAGGAAGCTGTTATCTTGCTTATCTTGCCATTTTGGGCTTCTAGAGACTGCCTTGTGTTCCTTGGCTCATGGCCTCTCCTTTGATCATTCCAAAATCTGTTTCTGCCATCACATTGACTGCTAACTCGGAACCTCCTGCCTTCTTCTTATAAGACACCTGGTGATTACACTGGATCCATCTGAAAAACCCAGGATAATTTCCCCATCTCAAGGGGATGGGTTTGGAGATTAGGACACGGATAGTATCTTTTGAGACCATTTTTTTCTGTTGAACACAGACTGCATCAAATATAAGACACATCATGCACTACCAATTAAACTGTGGCACATCCTTGTCTGTAAGGTATGCCCTAATTTTAGTGACATCAAAAATATGACCCCATATGTATCTTGTATATTTCACAGTGAAATACAGACTGCAATAAACACCTGTATAAATTAATTCCTGTGTCAGATACTGCGTATTCTGTGATGAAAGTTAATGCCTCTGCCCTTGTAAATGTACCAGAGCTCACAAAATCAATGTTACAGAGCCTCTTTCTCAAATGGGCTCTTCCCCATGATAATGAGCTGCATTGTAAACATGTTAATGATAACAGCTAATTCATTAAATTCATTAATTCATTAAATTCACTAATAGTTTTGATTTACACTTCTCCTTTTATTTAATCCTGATGAAGACCCTATGAGGTATTAGCATTATTTCGATATCATAGACGTGAAGACTGAGGCATTCAGTCACTAGTGGGTGAGTATTTGAGTCCAGCCTCTCCAACTCCAGAGACCACACCCTTAACCAGTAGGCTGCCCTGTCTGTTTGTTAGGATAATTTTTTATAAATTATAAGTAGAAGTGTAGGATGATGTATATCTAAGGACATATATTATTTCCTTAGAACAGATTCCCCCAAATAGAAACAAAGGAAAAGAACAGTTAGAAGGCATTTAATAAATATTGCCAAAATCATTACCCAAAGGTATACACTCATTCATATAGCTATTGTTAAGAGTCAAGTGATGACAATACTGACAGTGGCTGTTACCTATGTATTTTATTCTTGCAGAAAATATATACTGATTATTATTCATTTTGTGAACACTGACACTCTTCTTCATATAAAATGTTTATTTTGGGTCTTGGCTTTTAAACTTCTTGTTTGTAGGAAGGAAACGAGATAATAAAGCAAATCATTTCCCCCTATAAACTGTATAATTAAGCAAGTGAATTGACTGTTTACATCTCTTGTGTCTTCACGTACAGGGTCAGGATAAGAGTGCCATCCTCCTCAAACATCCAGTGGCTATCCAATCTGACAGAATAGTCTATTTCTCACTAACTTATCTTCTATAATCCTCCACCCTCCTCCTCTAATCTTAGACTGAACATTTTTGCTGACTTTTTTACTGAATAGCTTGCATTTTTTGTTATCCATCTGGCTTTTCCCAGTTACTTTCAAAAGGGTGTCTGATTTTGACCAAAATCCATCATATTATACATGTCTTAAAATCTTTTTTAAAATGCTTAGTTATTATCTTGAAACAAACTGACAGAATAAATATTCAAATAAACTAGTATTCTTTTGTTTTTAGTAGATTTTGATAAAACTAGTGTCTCTTTGGAGAATTCTTTGTGCCTTAAGTTCTACATTAAAGCTAATGATTGCTGAACTTTCCTAGGCATGAATTCTATGATTTATTATAAACTTCATTGTTGCATGAATATAGGCCACAGAGACCAGTGTTTGCACTGTTTAATGTCTGGAAAGACATGTATATAAGATACATACTGAGTTTGGTTTAGATATGAGGTGTCCCCAAAAGGTGAAATGATTAGATTATGAGAAGTAGACCTGGTCATGGATTAATCCACTGATATGGATTGATGGTGATAATTGTAGGCAGGT